GATGTAATATTTAGTGGAATAAATCGTTTTGAACAAAATGTATTTTCATGGGTCATTAATTTTCGCTCACTTTCTACAACTTAACAATACTTACGATTAGACGCCATTTGCACTACGGCGTAGTTTTGTGTTGCATGCAAATGTCCGGAACATTATACTATTTCAGACTACTTCGTTAAACAATTAAAATTTAAAATGCACAACTCAAATTATGACCCAAATAATTTATGAATGTAAATATCAAATTGCACCCAGTATTTACTATTATTTAGTATTTTTCACCTCCAACGATATACTAGGTTGGGGAATAAGTTCATAAAGTTTTGACATTTTCTTTTTTTTACAGCGACATTTTGCAAATTGCAAGGGGTTATAATATTCATTCGATAGAGCTCTTTCTGCTCTACAAAACTGTGTTAATCGTTTTTTTCAGTAGTTTCATTCGTTATTACTATTGAGGCTCAGAAATGGAATATCCAGGAGGTAAAAATTAGCACTTTCGACACCTGCTCTTCTTCGCTTTCCATCGCGGCCAAAAAGTTGTGAAAAGTTGCTGAAACAGGCCGGGATATTTGCAATGTATACGGCGAAGGTGTCATATGTGAGTTGACAGCACGGAAATGGTTTGCAAAATTCAAAAATGGCGATTTTAACGTCGAAAACCTGCCCCATAGCAGAAGACCTTCTGAGTTCGACGAAGAGCGTCTCCGAGCACTTGTGAAGCAGGATGGTCTTCAAACTAGTCGTGAATTGGTCGAAAAAATGAACTGTGACCACAAAACTATTCTCAATCATCTCCATTCAATGGGATTTGTCGAAAAATTGGGAGCCTGGGTGCCTCACGAAGTGAACGCTACGAACTTATTGCCCAGCCTTAGGTTGAATTTTGCAAACCATTTCCGTGCTGTCAACTCACATATGACACCTTCGTCGTATACATTGCAAATATCCCGGCCTGTTTCAGCAACTTTTCACAACTTTTTGGCCGCGATGGAAAGCGAAGAAGAGCAGGTGTCGAAAATGCTGCTTTTTACATTCTTGATATTCCATTTCTGAGCCTCAATAGTAATGACGAATGAATCTACTGAAAAAAACGATTAAC